AAAAGACAATATTTATAAATGTAAAAGACAATAAGAAATCTAATAGTTGCCGACGCGTTTCGTCCGATGTGGACTTTTTCAAAGCAAAAACGGAATGAATTTGTTAAAAAGTAACTAATAATAAGAAAACAAAATGTCCTTAGCAAATGGAAGAATTTAGAGAATGCTATTTTCATAGTGTTAACTGAAAAATGGTTGAATCCGTCAACACAGCAATAAAAAAAATATTTCCACACATGACAGTAATTGACGTAATTTTCAGTTAACAGTATGAAAATAGCATTCTCTAAATTCTTCCATTTGCTAAGGACATTTTGTTTTGTTATTATTAGTCACTTTGTTTAATAAATTCATTTTGTTTTTTGCCTTGAAAAAGTTCACATCGTAGGTAACGCGTCGGCAACTATTACAGTTTTCCTATTGTCATATATATATATATATATATATCTCACAGTATGGGATATAGGGCAACAAAAATGATGGAAAGAAAAAGCATTTAAATGAAATCAGTTAGATTAAAAAAAAATCAATTTAAAAAATTAAAATTCCTAACTTCCCTCGTTCGTGCGCATGTGTAATTGCATACATAAATTTTGTCCAATGCAGTTCTAAAGAATGAAACACGTCACAAGAAATTTTTTTACATCGTATCATTCATTTTTCCCAATATTTCTCTCTCTCTTTTTATCTATCTATATATACACGCGCGCGTATATATATATATATATATATATATATGATTTTTAGTTGTTCATGTTCCAACACGTTAGAACACGTCAAATCTATCGACATATATAATATGTTTTCATTTCCGATTAGTGCACACTTCAAACTCTCTTGGGAAATAAAGTTTAAAATTACTTAATTCGTGTCAATTTTGCATCCCTATGAAAATGGAAAATTATAAACTGTATTATAGACACTTGATGCTTTTTTTATCGTAAAGGCAAAAATGCCTTGCAAGCAACAAAAAAAATATGTACTGTGTACAGTGAACTTGTTTTAGCTGACAGAAATATACGGATGTGGCTCGCTAAGTTTAGAGTTGGTAATTGTAGCCATATTGATGAAAAACGCTCAGGCAGACCTTACCCCACGCTACAGATAACGACCAAATTAAGATATTGGTTGAGAATAACCTGCATTACACAACGCGTGAATTGACAGAAACACTAAATTTATCAAAATCCACCATCCATGAGTACTATTTGAAGCTTGGGTACTCAAATTGCTACAAGATTTTGGGTACCACATGATCTGAGTGAAAAGAATCTTTTGGATCGCATTTCATGTAGCCTTTTTGAAGCAAATTGTGACGGGTGATGAGAAATGGATCGTTTACAACAACATTCAGTGAAAAAGATCCTGAGGTGATTAACTTTAGCCACCTCAAAAGCAGGTCTTCATCCTAAGAATGCCATATTGTGCATTTGGTTGGATTGGAAAGGAATCCTGTACTATAAGTTTCTGCCAAGTAACTAGTCAATTGATTCTGAAAAGTACTTCTCGTAACTGGACGAATTAAAGCCAGCAATTCAAGATATACACGAACAGGAAGGTTGTTATTTTCCATCAGGATAATGCCAGACCTCACATTTCTTTGTCAATTTGAAAAAAAAAATTGTTGCTGCTTGTTGGGGATGTGTTACCCCACCCGCCATATTCACCAGACATTGCTCCTTCGGATTTTCATTTATTCAGGTCCTTGCAAAATGACCTCAATGGCAAAAATTTTAATTTTTTGATGGCATAAAAAGATAGGCTAAATTGGTGAATGTACAATTACTTTGACGTAGTGAAAATGTTCACTCTTTAAATCAATTGTAGGTGGTGAATATCCACGCGGACAATGGTTATTTGAATGCTGCGTTGAGTTTGTTAAGAAACTTAAAGTGTTTGCGAGTCAGTAAATTGAACAGCGTGTAGTTCGTATGGATCTCTTGAAATTTGATGACTGACTTGAATTGAGTCATGTGTTTGTTTATATAGAGTTTGGTGTTTAAAATTCGGCTCCAGGGAGCTTAGGAGGGAAAAGGTTCTGTTGTGACTTTGCTACAGTTTTAACCAATAAAAAATTGAATTTTACTGAAACGAAATGTTGATTGGTTAAGGCTTTGTTTTATAGAAGGAAACATTTTTTTCGAAAGGGGTGGAAGGTTAATATGGAAGATTGCACGAAACATTTCCGATTTATTTTTTATCATATATATTTTTGTGCAGTAATAAGAAACTTATTACAATTTCATGGGGTGTCTTATACTTATTTCCACCACTGTATGTTTTTTTGTGTGTGTGTGTAAAAAAATTAGATATTACAATCTCTAAAACTAAAAGGACAATATGAATAAAGATAAAAGGACAAAAGGAAAATATCTCAGCCGACGAGTTTTGTCCTCTGGCGGACTTTGTGAAGGCAAATATGAGGATATCATTTTACAACAGGTATTTATTTATAAACAAAAGTGAAAGTGTTAACAGTTTTTTTTTTAATTCTTAAATTCAAGATGCGCTCATAAATATTCATCAGGTTAGCGGAAAAGTCTAGGTAAACTATAGAGGATGGTAAGTGACGTAATTTAATGTCTGATAAACAAAAGTGAGTAATGATGTCATTGATTTTTATTTACATTTTTATAGTCATGTATGTTGGTTTAGGATAGGAGTAATTTTTTCAGGAATGGAGATATTTGAAAGAAAAAACCGGGCCGCAGATTTATATTTTGATAAAATTTAATAGTGGAACTCTCAAGAATTTTCCGTATAAATAAGTTACTTTCTGTTTTAATAAGTGTGGCATTCTTTAGATTGTAAGAATTTTTTTTTTTGAGATAATAATTGTTTGGTGATACAAGTCTTACTAATTAACCTATAGTTGTGAATGGAAGAGGTGGTTTCATACCTTTCCCATGAGTATTTGTGAGTAACTGAACATAAACCCAACTGGAACTCGGCCCTCCTATTCTGAGCCAATAACCATTACACCACCTGCACATCCAATCTTACAGTATCTGACATTCACAAATGGTCACCCATTGACCTACCTAAGTACTGACCAGGTTTGACGTTGCTTAATTCAGTGATATTACAGAAACTGGTGTTTTAATATGACATCGCTATAAGCCTATATTTGAATTATATTCTTGCATTCAAAATATTTCTCAGAATGTAGCAAACAATATCTTGTCTACTATAGTGCCAACATCCATTTCTTGATAATGACCAAGATGTTTGAAAGAACATGAAAAACAAAAAACAAAACGTGAATTTAATTTGGTTTGAATGTAGACTACCTTGTAAAAATACAAAATATTTTAGATAGCCCGCCCTTTTCTGTTGAATTTAATAAAAACTTTCATGAAACTTTGAATGACCGATCCGGAAAGCCACAAATTATACTAATGTTCGTTTAACAAGTCGAATACACACGAAACATGATTAGCCAATGAAAAATCAAAAACACAAATGTAAAAGTACTAGAATTTATTCTTTTTCTTCATGTCTCATTCTCTAATGACGCTTTAATAAATGAGAAACATGTTAGATTGATAAACATTTCGGATTTGTTCTTTAACACACACTCACACACATATATATATATATATACATCACTTTAAAACTCGGCCTTGTGCCACATCTTGCTGCGTGGGGAAGTGGGTAAATAATTAATAACAAAGAATAGAAATCCAAATTTAACTCATTCGAATAGCTATTTCAAACAAGTCCTATGTTGGGATGTTAATATCTTAAAATAGAGGTAAAAGTTATATTAATTGTCTTTATTTAAGTCAGACACTTCAACCTCCCATAATACTAAGGGTTGTGTCAATTTAATGTTTATATTTTCATCCGCTGCCTCCTGCTTCCTTTCTTTTGTTATTCTCTCTCTCTTTTTTTTTTCAACTGTTTAAATTTTAAGTTCCTATTTCATTCCTCCACACTTCTGTGTTGGCAATAACAACATAGGTCTTCTTGTTGGTCGAAATAGCTATTCGAATGAGGGAAATTTGGATTTCTATTCCATGGAATTTATATACTATGTTATTATAAATACATTCAGCTCCATTTCTGGATCAGTTTTAATATTTTATATTATTAGAATTGACTTGAATTATACACCAACGGGTTATATATATATATATGCACACACACACTATAGTGATTTTCTAAGCATAGCTCAGACGTGGCACAAATCCGAATGTATGGGGCACCCAGTGAGGATCGAACTCACTAGTCAGTCGTAACTGTTCTAGCAAGACAAGTTTGTTAACCATTACACCACCTCGAGGTGCCAAGATATATATATATATATATATATATATATATATATATATATATATATATATATATATATATATATATATATATATATATATATATATATATATATATATATATATATATATATATATATATATATATATAATAACAAATAATAATAATATTAAAATTTATACTTTTATCAGTGAAAAGAAAAGAACCAGCACTGAGAGGGGGAGGAGAAGTTAGTGAGAGCAAACCAGAAGTGAGAGTACGTTTTTTGATGGAAAGATTAGATGAGAGAGAGAGAGAGAGAGAGAGAGAGATTTCATAATGGCTTATTGAAGTTATTTCACATTGTTCAGTAACTCGATAACCATTCCTTTCATAGTTCATCCTAATTAATCCAAAGTGAAAGGAATTGACCGAGAATGTTCTTTTAACAATTTAAATGCTTTAGAAAAGAAACATTTCAAGTTATTACAGTGAAATAGAATCGACTAAGAATAATTAACAAAAATCAGAAACAAACATTTATTTTAAAAAGGGAAAATCCCTGCAGCCAAATCTAACTTGAAACTCAGTTTTTTTCGAAAATAAAAATAAAAATTGAAGTTAAATTGCTCAATGGGCTTACCTTGATCTTATTTTTTGAGATTCGCTTGTCTTAAGCAAGTTATTCATTCGTATATTCAATCACATATGCAACATTTGACTTAAGTTTGTAAAGAGGGAACAAAAAATTAAATGTTTGAAAATGATTGAAGAAAGAGGAGGAAACGAGGAAAAGATGTGTACATAAGAGATGGAATCGGGTGATACAAAGCTGTACACAGGAAAGGGATGATACGATGAATGAAATAAGGGTCAGTAACAGCGGCGAGAGACAAAGATAAGCGGGCTACACTGGTGAGGAACACAGGGTAGCGGGCGACACTAGCGAAGGACACAGGGAAGCGGGCGACAAAGGCGAGGGCACAGGGAAGCGGGCGACACTGGCAAAGGACACAGGGATACGGGTGACAAAGGCGAATGGCACAGGGATGCGGGCGACACTGGCAAAGGACACAGGGATACGGGGGACAAAGGCGAAGGGCACAGGGATACGGGCGACACTGGCGAGGGACACAGGGATACGGGCGACAAAGGCGAAGGGCACAGGGAAGCGGGCGACACTGGCGAGGGACACAGGGAAGGAGCGACACTGGCGAGGGACACAGGGAAGCGGGCGACAAAGGCGAGGGACACAGGGAAGCGGGCGACAAAGGCGAGGGACACAGGGGCGGGCGACAAAGGCGAATGGACACAGGGAAGCAGGCGACAAAGGCGAATGGACACAGGGAAGCAGGCGACACTGGCGAGGGACACAGGGATGCGGGCGACAAAGGCGAAGGGCACAGGGAAGCGGGCGACACTGGCGAAGGACACAGGGAAGCGGGCGACAATGGCGAGGGACACAGGGAAGCGGGCGACAAAGGCGAATGGACACAGGGAAGCAGGCGACAAAGGCGAATGGACACAGGGAAGCAGGCGACACTGGCGGGGACACAGGATGCGGGCGACAAAGGCGAAGGGCACAGGGAAGCGGGCGACACTGGCGAGGGACACAAGCAAGCGGGCGACACTGGCGAGGGACACAGGGAAGCGGGCGACACTGGCGAGGGGCACAAGGAAGCGGACGACAAAAGCGAAGGACACAAAGAAGCGGGCGACACTGACGAAGGACACAGGGAAGCGTGTGACAAAGGTGAGGGACACAGGGAAGCGGGTGACACAGGCGAGGGACACAGTGAAGCTGGCGACACTGGCGAGGAACACAGTGAAGCTGGCGACACTGGCGAGGAACACAGTGAAGCGGGCGACACTGGCGAAGGACACAGGGAAGCGGGCGACACTGGCGAAGGACACAGGGAAGCGGGCGACAAAGGTGAGGGGCACAGGGAAGCGGGCGACAAAGGTGAGTGACACGGGGAAGCTGACAACACTGAGGAAGGACACTTGAAAGCGAGTGAAAGGCGAGGGACACAGGGAAGCAGGCGACAAAGGCGAATGGACACAGGGAAGCAGGCGACACTGGCGAGGGACACAGGGATGCGGGCGACAAAGGCGAAGGGCACAGGGAAGCGGGCGACACTGGCGAGGGACACGGGGAAGCGGGCGACACTGGCGAGGGACACGGGGAAGCGGGCGACACTGGCGAGGGGCACAAGGAAGCGGACGACAAAAGCGAAGGACACAAAGAAGCGGGCGACACTGACGAAGGACACAGGGAAGCGTGTGACAAAGGTGAGGGACACAGGGAAGCGGGTGACACAGGCGAGGGACACAGTGAAGCTGGCGACACTGGCGAGGAACACAGTGAAGCTTGCGACACTGGCGAAGGACACAGGGAAGCGGGCGACACTGGCGAAGGACACAGGGAAGCGGGCGACACTGGCGAAGGACACAGGGAAGCGGGCGACAAAGGTGAGGGACACAGGGAAGCGAGCGACAAAGGTGAGGGACACGGGGAAGCTGACAACACTGAGGAAGGACACTTGAAAGCGAGTGACATGGTGAGAGGGAGTTGTAATGAAGACAAGAATAAAGCTAGAATATCTCAATAATAGCAAGGGAACAATTCAATTTCTTTTCAAGTCAATGTAAATTACCGCTAACAGAAGAAGGTCACGTGTCTAAATGAGAAGAAAAAAAGTTTTTATTTAATTTCCCAAAAGCAGGAAATGTTAAAAGCATTGTGAGTTGTAATCAACCTTTCCCTTCCCCACAAAACTATCCTCTCATTGACATCTTCATTACTTCACAGAAGAACAAACAAGACCGTATTTATTTCTCTTACGTTTATCTCGCTATTTTTACTTTCTTGAAACTCCAAACCTGTCTTAAGTTCTAAAAACTGATCATGTTTCAACAGCGTCACACTAACCGGAAGATAATGTATTTATGCTTTTACCGTGTAGAGCTTGAAGTCGACGTCAAGTTGTTGGTAAGCAATAGGATTTAACTTAGCCAATAGTTCAGCCAATAAGGTTTTAAAAAGTGAAAGAAGTAACTTATTTTTCCTTTTATTAACCAAGATCTGTCCGAGAGTAAATTAAAAAAAAAACCTATCACAGGGCAATAGAATAGCATCTTGCGTAGATGAAGCAACAAAAGAAAAGCTCGCTAAAAGTTGCTCAGGCTGCCTCTTATAGAGAGAAAAGGAACCAAAATGGTAGACGAAAATCAGTGACCAAAAGAGCAGACGGGAGACAAAGGCAATACCAGAAAAAATAGCGAAAAGGAAACGTGAGAAGGTGGTACAAGGCTATAATAAAAGAGTACTGAGAGGTTTGATCTCAGTACTAATAGTTTGTAAGACTGAACTCTTAATTACTGTACACCAGGAAACTCTCTCTCTCTCTGAGGCATCTTGCGAGATCATCGATCTCTGCCTATAAAAAGCTTACTCCCACAAGCACATACTCGGGTAAAGCTGTATGGAAGATAGGTAGTAGCCCATGAAGCAAACCTCCGTATCATTGTTGTCCAAGGGAAGAACAATATTTTTCAGCATCACTGTCATTATTTCTCTCTCTATATGAGTTTGACAAAATGACATGTATACTGTATGTACACGTTAAATTGTTGCTAATCTTACAGTTTAACAATCACTAGCTCATCATTGCACTATTGTTTCAACATTCTCATCAGGATTTATCTCCAAAGGTTACCAATAAATTAATGTCTACAAGGCAGTGAAAACTTTTTGAATTTGGAGTTGTTCTAGTCTGGTTGCCAAACCAGGCTAGAGAACATAAGCTGTTATGTTATTTCATTCAAAGACCTGTGTACTTAAAGGAAGCATATTTTATTTTATTATCTGCATTAGTAAGTACTAACTTTTATCTGATTGAAAGGAAATTGCTAGATCAGCATTAACCCCTTAGAACGGTAAAGTAAATAAAAACACACACACACATATATAACTAACATAGATCGTATGATCCTCTGGCCAGCCATGGAGATCTTACAGATGATTTGGCAACGAGCTTCCACAATCTCTCTTTATATTAAGATTGGTTTGGAATAGGTTCATCATCAGGTCTATCTTTCTTTTTGAAATATCAATATCTTGTCTCTTTCTTTGCCTGCCTCTCCTTCTCCCACCTGGAATTCTGCCTTGCAAAATTGTCCAGCTGATCGTGAGACCAGCACATATTTCCGTGTAATTTAGCTTTCTACACATTGGCCGATGGCTTGCCTGTATTTTTTCCTTTTTGGCTTACTTCTTGATTGGTGATACGATCTTTGACGATGCCAAGGAATTTTCAAAATCAGCTCATCTTTATGGCACGACTCCTTTCAACAAAAAATTAAAAGAGAAATACCTTACCTTTTTTTTTCAAAGACTACTTTTATTTTAACACTAACCCTCTATCATTGAGTGACTCTTGGGCTCTGTATTAGATGAACATTAGTAAAAGATATTTGCGAAGTTTGTATTAACAACTTGAATCTACCACATTCATGTAACCTTAGCTCACCTTTCTCCCATAAATAACGGATTTCTAACATGGGTTTGAAACTTACTCTTTTGCGCAATTCCCAGTGAATAGCTATTCCTACCCTTTTAGGTTTACTTTTATACTTTGCCAGGCATAATTCACCTTGTATTGGACGAAAAATAGTATCTAAAAATTCCCAAGAAGTCATGGTAATTCACAAATAATAAAGAAGAGAAAGCTGTGGAGAGCTATGATCGCTTATGTCCTGAAGGGTTTAAAAAAACAGAACATTTTATTATTGTTTTTAATTTGGTCCAAGAAAAGCAGCTGATTTAAAAACCCACAATTTTTGTTTTTAAATTCCTGATTCAAATAAAGAATGCTTGCCTAGATTTGTATCTAAATTTTTTTTTAAATTAATATATATATATATATATATATATATATATATGTGTGTGTGTGTGTGTGTGTGTGTGTGTGTATATATATTGCCCCTCAATTCTTTTAACGGAATTTACAGCCTTCTCGCTGCACAGTAAATATTCTGCTACTTTTCTTATTATTGAAACCGGTATAAAATATTTTTTAATCATTGTACTTCAAAAACAAGGCAATAAAGTCACTAAGACGCAGTGGATTTCACAATCCCTATATCTCCCACTGAGAGAGCAGGGAGACGGGCTGCGATCAGACGGCCCTGTGTCTGACTCAGAAATCCCACACCTGTAGGTTTTGGTACTGCCCCAAATCCTAACGTGTGTCTTGACCAGTGCGCGTGTGTCTGTTAACGCACTGCACCGGGAAATAGTATGAGTCAACTGCATTTTCAAAATCTTTTTAACTGACCTCACATCTTCCAGTAAACCAAAGAATACTTTAGCCAAAAGCTTTTGCGTTTGTGTCGACATGGAGATAGACATTTTGTTTATTTTTAATCAATTCCTGATTTGATATTAAACAGGAAAGAAGAGGAAATTTGAGACAACAAGATATATAATTTTACAGAATTATATTGAAAATGCCATGGATGGAACATATGAGCAACAGGGAAGTTGTAAAGAAAATTGAATGAAAAAGAACACTTGTACTTAGAATAAGAAAGAGATCATTTCTGTTTAAATTACTGGGAGGAAGAATTATCATTATAGACATTATTTACACAGGTTCATAAACTTTCTTTCTAGTTGCTGTGCCCTCACTGCCTTAGTTTCCAGTCTACAAACCTAGTACCGCCTCCCATAACCATACAAAGAAACTTCTTTCTTGGTATTTTGTATACTTCAAATCCCAAACATCTAACACCAGACGAACTTTAATTTATAAAAAATATAATAAAAAATGTAAAATTATAAAAAAGTAATTAATTGGAAAAAATGTATTAATAATACAACAGATTAGGTTTGTTTCTTATATTTTCTTTTGAGGGGAGTCTTTTAGAAAACATTCTTTTTTTTTTTTTTTTTTACTAATGTTCATTTAAAACAATGCCCTCGGGCTACGTATAAGGTTACCGCGTGGAGTTGTACCATTGTAAGAAAGGACAGGCTTGTTTACATTATTCGGACTGTTACCCTCATTTCCTTGCCATACACTCCGGCCTTCTTCAGGTGATTGGAATTTCAAACCGAACTCTTTATTTTGTCCACTGGGGTAGATTGTTCTAGTTCCACGTGCCATGCCTCTTCCGGATGTTTCTATAATTTCCCTTTAACTCAACTCTCTCAAGCGTTTTTGGTTCTCAACTTGGATCAAATAAAATTTGATGTGTGAAACGGATCGGAAATTGTAAATACACCTTCAAAATAGAGCCTGATGATTTATAAAATAAAAAGATCCATGAACAAAATTTAGGTTTCAAAATTTGTAAAAGAGATCGAGATCTGATATCGTAAAAAAAAAATAAATAAAATCAGCAAAATAAATGTTGATGTTTTATTAAAAAGATACATATATTGATTTTATTTTCCAAAATTGTAAAAAGATAAAAAAAATAGATACTTTTTTTTACTTTTTGACCAATGGGAAAGTAATCATACGTAATTTTCCATTTTGGATTGAATCTGGAGGCGATTTGTGGCTATGTAAGTAGTCGGATTGGTCGAAGGATCAGAAAGTTTTTAACGTTCACAAAGAAGACGTCAGCTGGTTGAAGAAGAAAGAAGCAAAAAGATTTTACGCATTTAGAGTTATATACCTTTATCTTTTTATAGCTATTTGTGAAAGTTTGTCACAAATTTAGTGGTATTAACCCTGATTTGAATTTTTACGAAAATACGAGATGTATCTCAATTTTGAATTTCAGTTTAAAAACTGAACTACTGCTTATAAGTTATCCAATGACGCTATCGTTCTCTAATCCTTTTGACAGTCTAATGAATCAAAGTAAATGAACATTTTGCTGATAAAAATTATATTTGTTTTATTAGCCCAACAAAATTTGCAATAAGAAATTGTTATCTTGTCCAATTGTGTGGCACACAAAGAAAAAATTTGTGCAAGTTCATTTGGTTAATTTTGTATTAAGGGTCGTTTTTTTTTGTTTACACCATTTGTAATACCCAGGAAGAGATATTTGACGTTCTTTCTTCTCTAACTCTCCGAGTGCAATCCTTTTAATTTCATTCACAAACAACTTCGTCCACACAAGTTGTTCTTTTAAATGTTTTTTTTTAAATTTCAATTGTTTGAATATATAGATTTATTTGTAGCTATTTGGCCTCAAATCTTGTGCCTCATTTCGAACGCACATCTATTTACACTGTTAAAGCGCACAAACAAGTCAGCGCCTACAAAGAAGAAACACCCCAAAACAATAGGCATTGCTGATTTTATTTCTCATAAAGACATTAAAATCTGCACTTAAGTTTGTTTCCATTCTCGAGGTTTTCCTTTGGGGGAGGAAGAGAAGAAGATAAATATATATATATTAGTTTATTGAGTAGAAATTCTTGTATTTGCACATGCCTAAATCGGTTGAAAAGCAAACAGGATTGATAGCCAAAGTTATCTTGACTCCAAATAGCAGCAGCAGAGAAAAGATCAAGGAGACTATCTTTATAGAATTCGCCCGTCTTTCTTTGCTTGGGCTTTTACACAATTTGTCAAAGATAATTCAATCTCTTAACTTTTACGATACTCTATCGAACCGGTATTACCAAACATCTCGGCAAAATAGATTTTAGGTAATGACCTCAACGGCCACAAAACTGTTCGCTAAACAGTATTTCTTTTAAACCGTTGCAAATAGAATTATTAAATAATACAATATATATATATATATATATATATATATATATATATATATATATAAAGGATGAAAGCTGACTAGTGCTCTAGACAACTTTCATCCTTTTTAAATATTAAACAGCTCTGCAAGTCTTGTCTTCCGGCTCTGTATTGAGCACTTTTAATACTTTAAGTTTTAACAAATATTTTACTATTTGTGTTACTCTGGCATATATATATATATATATATATAGTAAAAAGAAAGAACAGTAATATATATAATCCGGTTTTCTTATTGATATTTTTATAAAACAGTGCTCAACGTAAATTTACAGAGCATGAATATTATAAATTAACTGATTTAAAAATCTGGTTCCTTCGCTACACAGGAATTACCATGTTTCAAAAGCTGAAGCTAAAAACTTCAAATTTAATTATGTAATTAAATTAAAAGCGTTAATTCTGTTTCATCTTCAAGCGAATTTTGGAATAACTTATTTTTAAATTTACTTAGTTTTAAACGCACATACAATTCATAATATTTTGTTTCCAAGGATACAGAAAAATGCAATCATTTAGACAGGTGCGATAGCCTGATCATTTTTTAAAACTATTATTGTATCAATTATGAGTTACGTTCGAAAAAGAGGTTAAGTCTAAGTAGGCTAGGGTGCCTTTTTTTAACGAATTATGACATCCGTTTAACGCGTGTCGTCTGTTTTTTTTTATCAACGACAAAAAATTTATATATATATATATATATATATATATATATATATAAGGGAAATCTGAAAGCAATATTTCCTATCTTTTTCACACAAAAAATACATATGCAGAGAGTTCGATAACAAAATTAGATAGTACAAATATTCTGTTACAAAAAGTTAGTTTTCCGCCTGACTACCACCATTTGTAATGCATTCCCGCTAATGTATGGATCCACAGACGTTACAGGTTCAAGCGGAAGAACGAAAGGGAGCGACGTACTGGTGTTACAGGTTCGAGAAGGAGAGAGTGTGTGTGTGTGAGTGAGTGAGTGAGTGAGTGAGAGAGAGACGTATCGATAGTAAAGGTTTGGATAAAAGAGACCGAGAGACGTTTAGACATTACATGTTCGAGAGGGAGAGAATGAGTGAGTGAGAGAGAGAGCCGTATCGATATTAAAGATTTGGATAGAAGAGAACGAGAGACGTTCAGACGTTACAGGTGAGTCAGTGAGGGAGAGCATTTTCAGGCAGAATATGCAGAGTGTGAGAATAATATATATATATATATATATATATATATAAAGAAATATACATAATATCCTACATTAATTGCACAACTCGGATTTCCATGCTGAAGCAGTTTTCAAGTGTTGGAATTATTTTTATTTTTTATTTAGATTTTGGATTGATACCGGTTTTTTGGGTTTTTTTTTTTAAATTCTGCTTCATGTGAGATATATTGTTGGGGTGGAATATTATTGGACTTAAAATATTTAAATGACTTGTAGTTTAATTTTGAATTTGAATTTAAGCCCAGATTAACATTTAAGATTGAAAATAAGGTTGGAAATAAGAAATATAAATTCTAAATTAGGGAAATGCAGGTTTTGAAAACGTAAGTAACCAAAAAAGGGGGTTGGAAAATCAAGGAGGGGGTCAGCGCTATTTTTTGCCAAAAATCAAGAGAGTAATTGATAATAATATTACTAAACTAACTAAAACTAATGATATCAAGAACAAAGTATGCCGTGATAATATAAAACAAAATAAAATAAAGTACAACTACTACTAATAATAATACATATCAATGGTAAGAATATTATTTAAAATAATAATATTATTATATACCTATAATATACTTATCTATATTTACCCATTCGGTTATATATATATATATATATATATATATATATATATATATATATATATATATTAGCTCTTGAAAATATATTTCAATTGAGCACTGTTGAATGACAAGCTAATTCTACAAACAACAGCCACCTGCGTTAATGCGAAGCTTTTCAGTAAAATGAATGGAGCACTCCGGCTGATTGACATTTGTTTACATTTGTAAAAACAATACGCTAGATTTAGCTGCCTCATTCTGTCGAATGAAGATAGCTCAGTGGTAGAAACTCTGACACCAAATCGGTTGGGTTTCAATCCTGTCTTGAGGCATTCGGATGTCTAGTCACACTTAAGAGCTATGATACAGCGAAACAATATTGTCTGCGAATGAAATTTATATATATATATATATATATATATATATATATATATATATATATATATATATATATATATATATATATAGCATCTGTAATGTCTACAAACAATTTCATTCCACTCACCTAGTTTCCAACTGAGGAAATAGCCACAAAGAGTTTGTGAACTAAGTCATTTCAAGAATGATGTTTGGAAACAACTCAAAAAATGTGTTTGTCCTGACAAGACATCTTGATAATATGTAATCATCATAACTAGCATCTTGTTGTAATCACTGATGGTGTACTGAGAACAATACCATTTCAAATTTTACACATTTTTCACCTAGTAATGATGTATATACCTATCCCTGCTAAGTATGACTGAGACAGCACCTAGTAAACAACATGCTGGTTTTCATTCATCCCGTCCACAAAAACACATATTTTTTCTAAGAACTCTGAGATATTTTTGGCTAAGATTTTCTTTGCTAGCGAATTGAATAGTGATTCAAAACAATTTCTTGTTCGTGATGAAGGCAATGAAAGCAATGATTGTCCTCGAGTGGTTGACGTCACACACGTAGGCACCTCCAAAGCGTGTGCCACATTTTTGTCAACAAAGCAAAAGGCGAACCACACCAACATTTTCAAAAGTCTACCAAAATTATCGCATTTTATTAAATATATTAGATAAGGTAGTAAAAGAAAGGTGAGAAGAAAGGAATAAGTATCAACAAAAACTGATTGCATGGTTATCGGCAAAAGAGACAATCCAAGATATTATCTGTGTATTATATTAAAAATATTATTAAAAATATGCATATTATATTACAAATAAAGCAGGCACAGAAATTTAACTATCTGGGCAGACGATAGAAGATTTGACAAAGAAAATTGAAACTCGTAAATTAGCAAAACATACATTCCTGAAATTAAACAAAGTACTAATAGATAAGATCATTTTATGAGAATTAAAACATCTCATCATTCGACCGTAGTCGAGATCATCAAGCCAATGCGAACGATCCTTTCCCTAACGGTATCGTACGTGCTACACCAGGGCTACATACAGTTTTGAATTTAGAGTTACTTTCTCGTAGACCAGATGCCATCCAAGTCTGTACTGCTATTTATCCAATAGCTGTGGTGGCAGAAGAAGACTATTCATACCTTTCCAAGGGTATTAGCACGTAAGTGAATGTAATGGGTTTGACTGGAATTTGAACTCAGGTCTCCGATTCCTCAATCCAAGCCACTATCCATTACTCCACCGCGCCTCCTAATTATACTTATTATAAAACCCAGGTTGTGTGTGTGTGTGTGTGTGTGTGTGTGTGTGTGTATGTGTGTCTATTCGTTGATATATTGGATCGGATTTCCTACATTTTTCAACCGATTTCAAGAAAACTTCACAGGACTACGTAAAATTACCTGACAGAGCCAAAAATTGTTTTTGCAGGAAATCAATTTGAAAACACGATTAAGAGGCGTCGCTGTCGAGAATGAAAGGGGGACAACTCATATCGAGTTATACTTATTATAAAACCCAGGTTGTGTGTGTGTGTGTGTGTGTGTGTTCGTTTATATATGGGATCAGATTTCCTACATTTTTCAACAGATTTCAACAAAACTTCACTTTTTTGGCAGGTAGTGTTTCTTATTGTCTTGCACACTTTTTTCTTTATTTTTACATTCAGAATGCTTTCAAAATTTCATTTACAAGACAATTGTTTATAATAAAATTCTATTCAATCGGTAGACTCATAACGATTGAAAACAATGTTTTTGTTTGAGTTTGGGTTTGACCAATTCGTAAAAAAAAAAAAAAAATATTTAAGAGCCAAATACAGAGACCCGGTGCGCCATGCGCCACAAGGTCCCAAAATGACCCTCTGCTTTTTTGAATCCAGAGTTGTCCTTCTCCTAGATCAGTTGCCATCCAAGGCTATAGAACCCAGTCTGCCTTCTATTTACCAATAGCTGGGGGAGAAGAAGAGGATCCATACATTTTCCAAGGGTAGGTAAATGTAATGGATCCAAATGTAATGGAATTCAAACTCGGCCCTCCAATACCTCAAACTGTGCCTCCTTAAAACATATCTAATCTTCAAATATGGCAGTGAATCTTAGAGAATTTCTTTACAGATGAAGAAACAATTTGAAATAACAAAGATATTGTTCTCCTGAGTAATGCTAAGAATACCATGGACAACTCATGTAAGCAACGAGGAGGTTTAAAAAATATAGGAACTACAAGGAAACGGACTTACAACCAGAAAGAGACAGTTGAGGTTCTTACAACACATACTGAGGAAAAAGGACAGAGATTTTAACACTCACAAAGCACATCGTAAAAATGAAAAGCAACGGAAATAAGCAAATGTTTTACTTAAGGAGTTCATGTAAATGGATGACAGAACAGAGACAAAATACTTACTGCAACAAAAGTCTGGAAATCATGTGAGCAACGACAAAAGGGAAACTTATAGTTAACATCAAGAAGAGTTAAAATATCTAGGGCACATAATGAGAAAAGAGGGCTTGGAAAATTTGATCCTCACAGGAGAGATTGAAGGCAATAATGGGTAGAGCAAAACAACGTATAACCTACCTAGTAAGCTTGAGTAAATGGATGGCGGAGAATGTTTGGAAAAGATAACAAAAAAACATTATTAATTGCTACAAAGGACAGTAAATTGTGAAGAGCCATAATCGTCAACGTCTTGAAGGGACATTGCGCATAGAAGAAGCTTCCACCAAGCAGTTGTGAACAAGCGAATAATCTTCGGTGGATTAAATTATATGACTAGGTCTGTCGTAAAACAGTTAGTCTATTTGCGTACATGTTTTATACTCTAAATCTAACAGCGATTATGGGACGGAGGTAGTATAATTTGTCATACTTTAAAGAGAACATGAGGAAACAGTGGATACTGTGAACTTTTAATCAGTTGCACAAACCTTAATCTCTTGAGGTTTTCTTTCTAATCTTTTAATAAATTGACATTTGGCCACAATTTGTGTTTCTGTCTAGTCCCCCGTCGACTAGAATATGGTTGGGTTATGATAGCGTCTGACATTTTTATGTCCTGTTGCCAGTAGGGAATCTCGTCATGGGTGGAGGTGGCCTATTTATTCAGGGTTGCCACAAAGCCGAACCTATTTTATTAATGAACTAAATGTTGAGGCAAATTTTATTAATTTTTAACAGTCAGCGGCTTAAGAATGTTGAATTCATTACATTTTGGATGGGGGCTGTTTGAAAACTCATAGGAACAAGTTGAAAACAAATTGATTAAAAAAAAACGTCTGAAAATTCTGAAAATAATATGGTGGGGATATATAGAGAGAAGAGAGAGATAAAGTAAAAAAAAACAAACTCTGTGGTGTAATATGTGAGGGAAAAAGAGAAAAGGCAAAAATCTGTGGGTGTATGTGTGTTAGGAAGAAAGAGAAGTATATGTGCAAGGGAAAGAGAGAGAAGGTAAAAAGCTCTATGGTGTACGTGTGCGTGATAGAGAGAGAAAAAGAGAAGGCAAACAACTATGTGCAAGGGAAAGAGAGAGAAGGCAAAAAGGTCTACGGTGTATGTGTGTGAGAGAGAGAGAGAGAGAGAGCGAGAGAGCGAGAGAGAGAGAAAGAAAGAAAAGGCAAACGACTGTGGTGTATGTGTAAAGGAAAGAGAGAGAAAGCAAAAATCCGTGGGTGTATGTATGTATGTGTATGTGTGCGAGAAAGAGAGAGAAGGCAAAAACTGTAGTTTATGTGTGAAAGAAAGACATAAGAGGTAAAAAGTCGATGCTTCTGTGTGTGTGTGCGCATGTGTGAGAGAGAGGGGGGGAATCCCTATAGGTGTATGTGTGAGAGAGAAAGGTAAAGCCCCAACGAGTATATCTGTGAGGGAGAGGGAGACAGAGAAGGCAAAGACTCTGTGGTTTATATATGAGGGAAAGAGACAGAGAGTAAAATCTCTATTGGCGTGTGTGTGTGTGTGTGTGTGTGTGTGTGAGAGAGAGAGAAAAATCTATGTGGTGTACGTGTGGTGGAAAGTGAGAAAAGTTGTATGTGTTAGGAAGAGAGAGAGAGAGAGAGAGAGCAAAAGATACTGTGGTATATGTATGAAGGAAAGAGATAGACGTCAAAAGCTCCATGGGTGTTTGTGTGAGGGGAAACGGAGTGAGAGAGAGAGAAAAGATAAAAAAAAACTATGGGGTGTATGCATATATATATATATATATATATATATATATATATATATAATGGTGGTTCGTGGGCTGTTAAGGTCTGGATAGATGGAATTCAAATGCCATTCAAATAGCAGTAAAATATCAGAGGACTAACAAAGTCTTATTACTGGGAAAGGTGCTGAAGTGTGGAAATCAATCCATCACCCACAAGGCTGCACCAACACTTTGGAAAATGCTATGAATTAATACGAATAAAATATTTTGTCAACAAATATAATATTTTAAGACATTTTTTATGTTTATATGTTCTTTTTATAGATACAAATATTTAAGTAAATGCTCTGTTTATAATAAACAGTATTAACGACATTTACCGGCCTGAATGTCTGAGAAATTTTCATAGAAAATATGCATCCTCCAACAAGAATTGAACCTGTATCCTATACAGAATCGTCATATAGCCTGACATTCTTTTACCGATTGAGCCACAGAGGAGTGTTTCGGTTAGTAAGGTCGATTTTACTGTTTTTTAAACTACAATTCTACATGATTTTCTCTCGTACATTCATATCTGCTTGATGCGTATCCAAATGTAAATAAATGACGTCACACATTATGAAAATTATTTTAAGACATTTTTTTAAAAAAATCTCGTAAAATAATTGTCGGACTTTGTCCATTTGATAAATATTATAATGGAAATAATGGAAATAATTACAAAAAAACATAGTAGACTTACAGCCATATCACATTGAAACATTGGTTCTCGCAAAATCACAAGTTAAGCAACGTCGATCCTGGTCAGTGCCTACATGGGTGACCACTTGGATGTGCGGGTGGTGTAAAGGATAATTACTTAGAATTGGAAATCAAAGAGCCAAGTTCCAATTCCAGTTGTGTTCTTTATATTCAGGTATGTGTAAATACCTTTGGGAATGATATGACTTACCTCTTCTCACCCAACTATGGGTTAATTAGTAGAACTTGTATCAGTAAATCATTATTATCTCAAAAAAATTCTTACAATCTAAAAATATTTTCTGGCTTTAAATAACCTACAAGAGATTGATAATTCAAAACAAATCCAGAACACTGGTTCTCATATGATCACCTATGTTAAGCAATGTTGAACCTGGTCAGTAACTAGATGAGTGACCTCCTGGGAATACCAGATGCTGTAAGCTTGATGATTTAATGGTGTAGGTGGTGTAATAGATAATGACTTGGAAATGGCAGTCAGAGAGCCAAGTTCCAATTCCAGTCAGGTTCGTAATATTCTGCACAAATACCCTTGGGAAAGGTATGAATCCACCTCTTCTCCACCCCCACAACTATGAGTTAATTAGTAGAACTTGTACCAGTAAATCATTATTATCTCAAAAAATTCTTACAATCTAAAAATATTTTCTGGCTTTAAATAACCTGCAAAGGTTGATAAACTGTAAAACACAAACCATTCAATCAAAAACAAATATAGTAAAAGAGTGAGTGAGACCAGGAGGAAACTTATTGTCACTTGATCCTCCAGAAAATAAATACATCAGATAACTTCCCATATGGTGGAATATAACAACAAAAGTGAAAATTGAATATTCCAAGGAGATTCGAATGGGTTCTATAAATGAACGCATATCAAATTAAATAAAAATTTCCATTGCTTTTGTTGGAAAAAATTCTTTGTTGAAAGAAGTTAATTTATTAAATGCAACTTGTCGAATCGTCTTTCAGTAATTCGTTTAGTTTGTTGCAATGGCTTTGTGGAGCTGATTAGAAACAGTTTTTTTTTTTAAGTGTGAGAGGGGAAAGGCGAAAAGAAAAGCAAATTAAAGTTATGGAGGATAATATGATTGGGAAGAAAATGACAAGGAACAATACCAAAATGGAATAAAAGAGAGAGGAAGAGAATGAGGAAGAGGTGAGAAAAAAGAGGAACAAATATGAGAAGGTGGAGAGATAAGGAAGGAGAGGAGCAAAAAAGGAAAGAGTGTAGATGACAAAGTGTGTAGGGGAAATAGGGGAGAGGAACAAATAGGGTCAGGGAAATAAGGGAATAGAACAAATAGCTGAGGGGGATACGGGAGAAGAAATAGTTGAGGGGAAAAGGGGGAGACGAACAAATAGTGGAGGGGAAAAAGGAAGAGGAACAAATAGTGGAGGGGAAGAGGGAAAGGAAGAAATAGTTGAGGGGGAAGAGGAAGAAATAGTGGAGGAAAAGAGGGGAGAGGAAGAAATATTGAAGAGGAAGAGGGGAGAAGAGGAAGAAATATTGAAGGGGAAGAGGGGAGAGGAGGAGGAAGAAATATTGAAGGAGAAGAGGGGAGAGGAGGAAGAAATATTGAAGAGGAAGAGGGGAGAGGAGGAAGAAATATTGAAGAGGAAGAGGGGAGGAGGAAGAAATATTGAAGGGGAAGAGGGGAGAGGAGGAAGAAATATTGAAGGGGAAGAGGGGAGAAGAGGAAGAAATATTGAAGGGGAAGAGGGGAGAGGAGGAAGAAATATTGAAGGGGAAGAGGGGAGAGGAGGAAGAAATATTGAAGGGGAAGAGGGGAGGAGGAAGAAAAATTGAAGGGAAGAGGGGAGAGGAGGAAGAAATATTGAAGGGGAAGAGGGGAGAGGAGGAAGAAATATTGAAGGGGAAGAGGGGAGAGGAGGAAGAAATATTGAAGAGGAAGAGGGGAGAAGAGGAAGAAATATTGAAGGGGAAGAGGGGAGAGGAGGAAGAAATATTGAAGAGGAAGAGGGGAGAGGAGGAAGAAATATTGAAGGGGAAGAGGGGAGAGGAGGAAGAAATATTGAAGGGGAAGAGGGGACAGGAGGAAGAAATATTGAAGGGGAAGAGGGGACAGGAGGAAGAAATATTGAAGGGGAAGAGGGGAGATAAACAAATAGTGGAAGGGAAGAGGATGAGAGGAACAAAGAGGGGGAAGAGAAAGAGGAGAAAAGAACAGAGAGTGGAGCAGAGAAGAATGAATAATAGAGGGGAAAGAGGGGGAAAAGAACGAAGAGGGTAGAGGAATGAGGAGGGGAGGAGGAAGAGAGATATAAGGATGGGGATGCGGGAAGAGGTAGTGCGGCAAAGCAGAAGGTGAAGCAGAAGGAAATTGAAAGGAAGAAACAGAGAAATAAAAAGCATTGGAAAAATGGGGCAGAAGAAGGTAAACACAGAAAGTTGGTGGGGAGGTGAGAGGAGGAAAAAGAGGGCAAAAGATAAAAAGAATGATGAAAAGTCTGATAGAGAAAGAGAGTGAAGGAGAAAAAAAAAAGAACAGAAATGAATAAAAGGTAAAAATTCCAAGTCAAAGCAAATGTGAAATTAGCAAATATTCCATTTTCTTTTTAACATTTCTCATTAGTTTCTTTCGTTTTGCAAAGTCTTCATCAATACTGCAAAAAAAAAAAAAAAAAATTCCTCGCTCCCCAGGTCACTGTTTAAATTTAACACTTGCTTTAGAACTGAAATCACCAATGATTTCACAAGCGTATTCTTGGACTTGAAAATTAGTGAGCAACTCGCACACAACCAACCCAATAAAATAAGTATGGTGATGTAATGGAATAACCTGTCACCGTCATGAGTAACTACACTATAGGTAGTAACTACTTATAAGTAGCTGTAAGTCAACGGACTACAGAGTCTAGCTAAAATCTTTTTCAGCTGTACTGGTCAAACTCTCTGCCTCTGAGCAGAAAGGAACCCGGACGAGGCTGTGCCGAAGAGCACAGTCTTGTTTGGGGCGGTAGACCGACCTGATCCTGTTTAAGTGGGGGTCTATGGGGATTTTTTGGCCGAGCCTACTGTTAACTATTTGCCCATAGCTGGGACCCTAACAGGTGCCACCACCCCAGGTCAGCAACCAAGAGGTGGTTCCAAGCTTCTCAAAACCTCCTGATAAGAGGCCCCGCTATTGGATGTAGTTTATCATCTTACCCAGGATGTGGATGTAGTTTATCATCATACCCAGGACAGCTGTCTTGTTTTGATCCTTTGTAATAGTTTTAATGTAGTTTATATTCTGTCTTTGATATTTCTAACATTGGTAGGTGATATTCATAACACTTTGGTCACTTCAAGTCTTTTCGTGGCTGTAATAGAAGGTTAGGAAGACTATGCTTCAGAAATATTCTTTGTTATAATGATTTGCTTTTCTTGAAATCATCTGTGAACTATGATCATCAAGAGGAAATATGCAACTACCTTGATCAAATAGCATGCTCTTCTATAATAATCCTCCTCCCTTAAAACAAACATTCTGTTATTGATTTTTTAAATGATATTTCAACTCCTTTAGGGTTATTTCACGCCATTATTTTCTTATTAGCTAATATTTCGGTTTTAGTTTGAAGGTTGGGTTAATTTTAAATTTTTGAATTGATATGTTCAGTTGGCACAAGAATCAAAATGGTAGGCTGCTTGTCTTGGATGCCTATTGAAACTCAAGTTCACCCCAGATCTCAAATGGAACTCATATATATGATCTGCTGCTGAAAAAGCTGGAAAAATGGTTGCCTCATATCGTTCCAGAATGTACCTATATCCATCTGCCATATTCTAACTCTACAAGAGTTAGGTCAGACCCAAAATTGAGTAACGATGCCATATCTGAGCTGGAGCTGCCAAATCCTCTCTTTCCAGCTTTGACAGAGTTCGAAAACATCTACATGGCCTTGTAGCTGACGAATTATTTCCCTGTATACAACCACTTTCCCATCTCGCTGTTTTATTGATATTTCCATGGAACATTCTTTAGGTCAGACCTTTACAGCTAAAAAACCTTATGCTATATACACAGTGTCAAATCATTCTCATATATACAATAGGGTTTACTTTAAACTCAGCCATGTGCCATATCTTGCTGTGTGGAGCAGCGGGTAAATAATTATACAATAGGGTTATGACTTTTTTTACTTTTTGTAGAATAATTAATTTCTAGTATCAGAATCTGATAAAAAAGAAGGGTTTAATTCAGTTTATTTAAAAAGGAAATTTCACCCTGAAGATGAAATTTCTAAAATCGTATATAGCAGTATCATGACTTTCTGGGGCCTTCTAGAACTATATTGAAAGTTCTAGAACATTGTTTTGGTTTATTTGCAAGTTTGTATGTTATGCTATAGCTATAAACTGTTAAATGCATTAAAATATGCAAGTACTATCCAATTATATCATTATCAAATTGAAAAATAAAACTGAAATATTTTTATTTTTTACTCTTATTACATATATGGCAAAATCATATTTTCAGTTTGGGGTGACCTTTTCCAAGAACTAAAACAAATTAATGCCTTTTCGTTACTTTTTAATAAAAGATTTATGACACAAGAACATAGGGTTACAATAAAAATCATAACCCTAATATACAAGCCATTGCTGAAGAAAATGGTTGATTCCATTAAGTACTTATCTCCTGATATGATCTATCTTTACAAGAGCTGGATCAGAAGAAAAATGTTTTACTGCTGCCATATATAAGTTGGGACTAACCAGTCCTTACTTTTAAGCCTCAAAAAGATAAGAAGCTTCGCAGAGGCCTTATGGGTGATGAAAATAGTTTTCCCACCCTACACACTATTTCCCAGCGACAAAACATCACAAGCTTCTCACTATTCTGTCGCTACTTCTATGGTAAATGTTCTGATATGCTACATTCAGACGTGACTTTTGCAGCTAAGACCTACCTTATCCTGTACGCTTAGCCTGATCGTCCCCATTCCCTTTATATCCAATTATTAAGAAGGAAGTTCTACTTGGACAGCTTCTTCCTAAGAACCGCTACTTCATGGGATAGACTCCTGAGATGATGCTTTCTCAATCACTACAATCTTAATCTCTTCAAGTCTGGGGTAAACTCTTATCTTTCCTACATATCTTCATAAACTCCACTTCTTACCTTCTCCTCGTATCACTCATACAACAAACTCTTTCACTAGCCCTCTAACTTGAGTGACTCTTGGGCCTATTTATGGGTGAAAGAAACAACTGGCTGACCATGAAATATAAAGTTCTCAGTCTAGATCATCAAATTCTTCATTGACTTCTGAACATTCAGTTTTGTGGATTTAGTAATGCTTCGGAGTTATGGGATAAACCTTCTTCTCTGGGGTAAGGTAAGAGTTGGGAGAGACTTGTGAGAGGATGCTTTCTTGAACACTACAATCTTAAACTCTTAGTGTCTAAAGTCAAT